GAGTCATTAATTTCCATTTGTTCAATTCTAATTTTTAACATATTGTTTTTTTCTGTTAGATTTTGTACTTTCTTCTCCAATTGGTCAATTGTATTTTTAAGGGATTTGCTTTCTTCAGTGTAGTTTTTTTCCAGTTGGCCAATTGTATGTTTAAGGGACTTGTTTTCTTCAGTGTACTTTTTTTCCAATTGGCCAATTGTACTTTTTAAGGACTCTTCTACCTCTCTCATTTGACTTTTAAAATCCTTCTTGAGCTCTTCTAAGAAGGCTTTTTGGGCTTCAGACCAGTTCATATTCCCTTTTGATATTGCAGATGTGGGTTTGATGACAGTGTTGTCCTCTTCAGAATTTCTGTCTTGATCTTCACTCTTCTCATAATATGAATCTATCATATGTTTCTTTTTACTCATGATGTTTCTTTATTCCCTGGCCTTTAAAGAGATTAAGTTCTCCTGCTGGGAAGCAGAGGGCAGTGACCCAAGCTTCTTGTGTTGGGAGCCTAGGTCTTGGTCACTGGCTTTGTGTGCTGGGGCCTCTTATGTTGGCAATTGGAGGCTGTAGGGTTCTGTCAGCTTATCTGGTGTTGGGCTGGAATCAGCAAGGCTGGGACTTTCAGGTCAATCTAGGTTGCCTGCTTTTCCTTTCCTTTATCTTTGTTTAGCTCCTTTTAGCTAAGTGCTGCCAGGTGTTTATCTGCCTGGGGCTCCTTGCAGTGCTGCCTCCTTTATTTCTGTTGAGGCACTGGGAGACTTCTTTGCTGTAGAATGCCGAGGCACCTGGTGGTTTTCTGAGCTGGTTTCCACCAGTTACCCCACCCTCACTGAGGCACTCGGAGGTACAGATGTTGGTGTTTGCCTGCTTGAACACCTGGGCTTCGGGATCTCCTCCTGGTTGGCAGTTGGAGGCTATAGGGTTCTGACAGCTTACCTGGTGTTGGGCTGGAATCAACAAGGCTGGAACTTTTTGGCACCTCTAGGTTGCTTTCTTCAGCTCCTTTTAGATGAATGCTGCCAGGTGTTATCCTCCTGGGGCCCCTTGTAGTGCTGCTTCCCTTATTTTTGCTGAGGCACTAGGAGACCCGTTTGCTGTAGAATGCTAAGGCACCAGAATCTCCTCCTGGTGTGCTAAAGTGGGTCTTTCCACTAGCTGGCTGGGCGACTCCTGTTTAGTACTGCTCCCCTTCCCCCAGGGTAAGAGGGGCCTTTCCCTCTAGCTACCTGGGCTACTGCACTGCTGTACCCCATCTTTCTTCTGGTTCAGCTGTTCCAGGGTTTTTTCTGGGGTGATATTTTCTGGGTTTTCAGAGGTTGATAGGGGAGGGTGAGAGCGACTCCCTTTTTACTCCGCCATCTTGGCTCCCGGAAGCAGAAGTCCTCCGTTCTAATTTTTAAGGAATTATTTTCTTCAGTGAGCTTTTGGACCTCCTTTTCCATTTGGCCAATTCTGCTTTTTAAGGCATTCTTCTCCTCACTGGCTTTTTGGACCTCTTTTGCCATTTGAGTTAGGCTATTGTTTAAGGTGTCATTTTCTTCAGTATTTTTTTGGGTCTCCTTTAGCAAGCTGTTAACTTATTTTTCATGATCTTGCATCGCTATCATTTCTCTTCCCAGTTTTTCCTCTACTTCTCTTACTTGTTTTTCAAACTCCTTTTTGAGCTCTTCCATGGCCTGGAACTGATTCTTATTTTTCTTGGAGGCTTTGGATGTAGGAGCTTTGACTTTGTTGTCTTCTTCTGGTTGTATGTTTTGATCTTCTTTGTTACCAAAGAAAGATTCTAGGGTCTGACTTTTTTTGTGCCTTTGTTTGTTCATGATCCCAGCCAATTACTTGAGTTTTAAACGCTTTGTTAAGGTAGGGGTCTGCTTCCAATGTGGAGAATGTATTGTCCCAAGTTTCAGGGGTTTTGTGCAACTGTTTTCAGAGATACTTCTGGGGACCTGTAAATTTTCAGTTTTTCCAAGGTGCTATGATCAAGAGCAAGGTGTTTATTCCTTTCCTGGCCTGTGCTCTGGTCTATGAGTGACTACAAGCACTCTTTTCTGCCTTGGAACTGTGAGGAGGATTTCCTCTCCACCACCACTACAAGCTCCACCACGCCAGCACTCCTCACCCAAGGACTGCCCCTCAGAACTGTGACCCAGATCCAAGCACGGGCAAAGCAAGAGAATCCTGCACCATCAAAGAGATCCCTGCAATCCCCCTCTGATTAGCCACTGAATTCCCCTTCAGTCTATGTGCTGGAAGCTCAGGAAGCAGGTGCCGCCAAGCTCAGGGACTAGGGCTGGGAGTGTACTTCTTTCTCACCACAGACACAGACTTTCCCCACTGACCTTGTAAGTTGTCTTTGTCGTTCGTGGGTTGAGAAGTCTGGAAACCACAACAGCTGCCTGTGATTCAGTCCTCTGAGGCCTGCTCCAGGCTCGCTGCAGCCTGCGCACCCACGCCGAACTGTGCTCCTCTCCCCACCCGGCATGATATGCCTTTCCAATCAACCATCCAGGCTGTCTTGGGCTGTAAATTTGTTTCATTCTTTTTGTGGGTTCTGCTGCTTTAGAATTTGTTTACAGCCATTTTTTTTACAGGTATTTGGAGGGGTTTGGGGGAGAACTCAAGCAAGTTACTGCTTTTACTCTGCCATCTTGGCTCTGCCCCCCAATAATTGCTTGAAAGATGATGTCCAGGCTCTTTTTTTGATCATGGCTTTCAGTTAGTCCAATAATTTTTAAATTATCTCTCCTGGATCTATTTTCCAGGTCAGTTCTTTTTCCAATGGGATATTTCATATTGTTTTCTATTTTTTCATCCTTTTGTTCTTGTTTAATTGTTTCTTGATTTCTCATAAAGTCATTAGCTTCCATTTGCTCAATTCTAATTTTTAGGGAATTATTTTCCTTAGTGAGGTTTGGTACCTTCTTTTCCATTTGGCCAATTCTGCTTTTTAAGGCATTCTCCTCATTGACTTTTTGTACCTCTTTCACCATTTGGTCTAGTCTGTTTTTTAAGGTGTTATTTTCATAAGTATTTTGTGTGTGTGTGTGTGTGTGTGTGTGTGTGTGTGTGTCTCCTTTACCAACCTGTTGACTCTTTTTTATGATGTTTTTGCATCATTCTCATTTGTCTTTCCAATGTTTCTTCTACCTCTCTTACTTGCTTTTCAAAATCCTTTTGGAGCTCTTCCATGATCTAAGACTAATTCTTATTTTTCTTGGAGGCTTTGGATGTTGAAGCTTTGACTTTGCTGTCTTCTTCTGAGTGTGTTTTGATCTTTCTTGTCACCTAGTAACTTTCTGTGGTCAGAATTTTTTTTTTCTATTTGCTCATTTTTCCAGTCTATTTCTTGACTTTTAACTCTTTGCTAAAGTGGGGCTCTGCTTCCAGGGTGGAGGGTGCACTGTCCCAAGCTTCAGGGGCTTTGTGCAGCTGTTTTCAGAGATACTTCTAGGGACCTGTAAGTTTTCAGTTCTTCCAACGTGGTATGATCTAAGGGGAGGAGTGTTTACTACTCTTCTGACCTGTGCTCTGGTCTGTGAGTGACCACAGATACTCTTTTCTGCCCTGGAAGTGTGAGGAGGGTCCCTCCTCCACTGTGGTAGTAAGATCTGCTATGCTAGTGCTCCTTCTTGCCATGGGACTGCCACCCAGATCTGAGTATGGGCAAAGCAACAGAGTCTTGTCCTCAGTGCCAGCAAAAACACCCCTGTAATCTCCTTCTGACCAGTTGCTTGAACCCCTTTCTGTCTGTGGGTTGAGAGCCCCAGAAGCAGCCACTGCTACTGCTGATTCAGTGACTCCCAAGGCATACTCCTGGTTTGCTTGGGCCTGATCTGTGCTGGCAGGGCCTAGGCTAGACTGTGTTCCACTGTCACCCCAGTGTGACAGATCATTTCTGCCAATTTTTTGAGTTGTCTTTTGCTGGCAAATTATTTCACCCCATCTTTTTGTGAGTTTTGCCACTTCAGGAATTGTTTTATGTCATTATTTAAAGGGAGTGATTTTGGGAGGGATATTTTGGCATTGGGAGGGATATATTTGGAGGGATTTTGGAGAGAGCTCAGGTGAATCCCTGCCTTTTCTCTGACAGCTTGGCTTTGCCTCTGCAATTAATTTTTAATTTTTTCTTCAAAGGTCCTTTATTAAGTACAATTTTTTTTTATTGAATCATGTAAGGATTGCATCATGCAATTACATATTATGGGATGTAATTGGTATTTCTAAGTTTTGGGTTTTTGTTGCATTTTTGAGTATTTTATGCCCTAACATATGGTCAATTTTTGTGGTGGTATATCCTTTTCTATTCCCATTCAATATTCTCCATTGTCCTATTATATCTAATTTCTTAAAAATTCTATTCAGGTCTTTCATTTCTTTTTTTGTTTGTTTGTTTTTGGTAAAATTTATCTATGTCTGACTAATTCATTTAATTTGTCCTTTAAGAACTAAGATGATATCCGTTGGGTGCATATATGTAGTACTGCTATTAATTCACTGTCTATGTTACCTCAGAGCAAGTTGTAGTTTCCGTTTATCTTTTAATTAGATCTATTTTTTGTTTTTTTGCTCTTAGATCATAAATGCCACCTGACTTTTTTACTTTGGATATAGCAGAATAGATTTTGCTCTATCCCCTTACTTTAATTCTGTGTATCTATTTCAATTGAGTTTCTTATAGACATGTTATTGGATTCTGGTTTCTAACACTGTCCTTTTCTTTTTTATGGGAGTTCATTCCCTTCGTGTTCTCAGCCATGATTACTATGTATTTCTCTCCATACTATTTTCTTATACTTTCTGTCTTTTTTTTTCCTGTCTCTTCTTTAAGTGGTTATTTTGGTTATGACTAATTCTGCCCTTATTTTGCCCACTTCCCTTTCTTCTGTTTTCTTATTGGGTGAAATGTATTTCTGTACAAAACTATGTTTGTGTGTATGTATTCTTCCCTCCTTTGAGGTCAGATGAATGAGGTTCAAATGTCACCTGTTCCCCTCCAATCCCTCCATTTTGTTGTATAGATGTCTACTTTCACACCTCATTTATGTGAAATAAATTTCCCCATTCTTTCTCTTCCTTCCTCTAGTCAGTAAACATTTATTAAGTGCTATGTGCCAGGCACTGTGCTAGGTGCTGAAATGCAAGTACAAAATAATCCAATCCACCTTGCCCTGAAGGAGCTTACAATCTAATGGGGAAAGAAAAAAACAAAAAGCTAAAAAGGAGGGGGGATAGGGGAAAAGGTACTCAGCTTGGTGCCATGGTGATATCCCAAAGTGGTGCAAATGGGTAAGAAATGAGATGTCTGAGGTGAGCTCCCTCCTTAGATGGAGATTTTGAAGTTCACGGGCCCACTCTCCAAACAGAAGGGCAGAGGGAAATGATGAGGTGGAGTACCAAGGCTGATGGAATTTTGCAGGATGATTTCCCAGTAAGGAGCTTCCTGGACCATGGTGAAGTCAGAGAAGTCTGAGTAGTGCATTCTTCCTCTTCCTTTCCCCTCTCCCACTGTGTTCCTCTTGCATACCCTTTCCATTCTAAGATCATCAAAACCTAACAGAAGCACTCATAGACCCTCAGTCAAATTAGACTCCCTCTTTGGGGTTACACGTATCATCTTTCCATAGAAGAATGTAAATAGTCTAACTTTAGTCCATTATGATTACACAGTCCATGTCTGTTTTGTTTTTTTTTTAATGCTTATCTTGACTTCTGCATTTGCAGGTCAGGTTTTCTACTCAGATACAGGATAAGTAGTTCTTGGGTGTAAGCCTAGATTGTTTGCTTTCTGGAATATCATATTCCATATTCCATATTTCATGATCTTCTTGGTGGCTAGTAAAGTATGATCCTGTGTTTCCATGGTACTTGAGTCATTTCTTTGTGGATGCTCGCAATTTTTTTTTTTAACCTAGGAGCTCTGGATTTTGGCTACGATATTCCTAGCAGTTTTCATTTTGGATCTTCTTTTAGTAGGGGACCAATGGATTTTATTTCCATTTTGCCCTCTGAATGTAAGAGCTCTGTGTAGTTTTAGGATTTCCTGAAATATGATATCTAGGCTTTTTTAGTCATTGTATGTAGGTAGCCCAATAATTGTGGGTGATTTCCAGGCCATTTATTTTTGCTATAAGATACCTCACATTTTTTCCCTATTTTTCCAGTCTTTTCATATTTTACTATTTCCTGATGTTTCATGGAGACCTTAGCTTTAATTTGGCCAATACTGTTTCCCTAAGCCTCCCTGAGCTGGAAAAAATGACTCATTAATAACTGTTTCTTGCATTTTTATAAAATGAGAATATGGTCCAGTGCATTTTTTTAGGTCATTGTGGAAGCTGAGTGGATGCGCTAATCTGTACTTCTTCCTGTTACTCCAACAACTTGGCTCCACCTTCTGAATCTTCTACTGTTGAAAAAGCTCTGTCCTCCTGGAAAATACTTTTTAACATCCTTTCATTAACCACTTTTCTCCCCTGCATGAATTTGCTGGTCCCAATTGACAGGTTTTCTCAAGAAAACAATCTTTCCACATTCATTGCATTTATACAGTTTTCTGTCCTGTATGAATATTTTGATGTTGAATAAGATGAGTTATAGCAAAAGGCCTTCCCACATTCATTGCATTTATAAGGTTTTTCTGCAGTATGAACCTTATGATGTACATAGTTAGATCTGTTTTCTGACCGAAGGCATTCCTACATTAACAGTACTCACAAGGTCTCTCTTGTATGAATTCCATAGTAATTTGTAAAAGCTGCCCTCTGACAGAAGGCTTTCAACATATGTTTTTCTCAAGTATGAATTCTCTGGTGCTAAGATTAATGCTCTGGACAAAGCTCTTCCCATATTCATTACATACATAAAGTTCCTATCAAGTATGAATTCTATGATATGTAATAAGCACTGTCTTTTAAATGAAGGTCTTCCTATCTTAACTGTATTCATAAAGTTTCTCTCCAGCATGTATTCTCTGGTGTTGAATAAGTTCAGGAGACCAGAGAAAAGTCTTTCCACATTCATTACATTCATAAAGTTTCTCTCCAGTATGAATTCTCTGATGTCTTCTAAGGTATGAGTTCTGGCTGAAGGTCTTTCCACATTCATTGCATTCATAAGGTTTCTCTCCAGTGTGTGTTCTCTGGTGCTGAGTAAGATCTGCTCTCTTACAGAAGGCCTTCCCACATTCATTACATTCATATGGTTTCTCTCCAGTATGAATTCTCTGGTGATGGCTAAGATTAGAACTGCAGACAAAAGCCCTGCCACATTCATTGCACACATAAGGTTTCTCTCTAGTATGGATTCTCTGATGGTCAATAAGGTGTGATTTACAGCGGAAGGCCTTACCACATTCATTGCACTTATAAGGTTTTTCTCCAGTATGTGTTCTCTGGTGCTGACTAAGATTAGTGCTCCGGACAAAGGCCTTCCCACATTCAGTACATTCATAAGGTTTCTCTCCAGTGTGAATTCTTTGATGAACTATAAGGTATGAATTTTGGCGGAAGGCTTTACCACATTCATTGCATTCATAAGGTTTTCCTCCAGTATGTGTTCTCTGGTGTCGAGTAAGTCCAGTGGACCGGAGGAAGGCCTTCCCACATTCACTACATTCATAAGGTTTCTCTCCTGTGTGAATTCTCTGATGTCTTCGAAGGTATGAATTTTGCTGGAAAGCCTTTCCACAATCATTGCATTCATAAGGTTTTCTTCCCACATGTTTTCTCTGGTGTCGAGTAAGTTCGGTGGCCCGGAGGAAAGCTTTCCCACATTCACTGCATATATGAGCTTTCTCTCTAGAATGAGTTCTCTGATGCTCAGAAAGGTGTGAATTACAGTGGAAGGCCTTCCCACATTCATTGCATTTATATACTTTCTCTCCAGTGTGAAGTCTCTGATGTTTTTGAAAACAGGAAGTCCTGCGAAAGACCTTCCCACATTCATGGCATTCATGAGATTTCTCTCCAATATGTATTCTCTGGTGTCGAATAATTTCATAGCCCCTTAGGAAGGCCTTCCCACATTCATTACATACAAAAGGTTTCTCACCAGTATGAATTCTTTGATGTTCAGTAAGCTGTGACCTCCAGTGAAAGGCCTTCCCACATTCATTGCATTTATAAGGTTTCTCTCCACTATGAATTTTCTGATGTTTCCTAAGGTATGAATTCTTCTGGAAGGCCTTTCTGCATTCAGTGCATTCATAAATCTTTTCTCCTCTGTGAATTCTCTGGTGCAGAGTAAGTTCAGTGTCCTGGAGGAAAGTCTTCCCACATTCATTACAATTAGAAAATTTCTCTCCAGGATGTACTTTATGTTTTTCAGTACAGTCAAAATTACAGCTAAAGGATTTCCGGCATTTATCGTCATCAGAAAATATTTTCTTTAAACAACTTCTATATTGTTTTACATTTGAATATTTTTTGAAGCTTTTTCTTTGTCTATTATATTTATGAAGAAGATTCTTTCCTACAAAAAATCGCTTCTGTGGCTGTAGAATAGAGCTTTTGTCATTTTTATATTCATGGACACTCACTTCATTGCGGGACTTCCTTTTAGTGATTTTTATTTGTCTTAAATGTTGATCCTCCTTGCTCTCCTCCTCCTCCTTTAACCTTGGATAACAATCCCAGCCTCCCCCCAACATCAAGATCCAAGGAGTGTCCCTTAAGAGTCTTTTTCTGGATGATTCTTCCACAGTAAGGCCAGACTCTGGAGGTGACTGTTTGATTTGAGGTCTAGTGTCTGAATCTGAAAGAAATAAAAACAGTAAATAACCTCTTTTCCCTAGATGAATCTGCTTTTTAAAATTTCTTCCTGCTTCCCTAATTTTCTTGATATTATTATTAACAAAGCTGTAGTCAATGTTTACATTTATTCAGTCTAATTTACTCAGTATCAAGTCTCAGAAGTTATTTCTATGTATGATTCCTTATGGCAAGATAATATTTTATTACATTGCTATGCCACAATTTATCCAGATAATCCCTACTGTAACCAGCACAGGAGAACAAAGTAGCCAGGAAAATTTTTGCAACGAAGTCTTAAGACTTTCATGCTTAGGGTAGAGTCCTAATAATGTAATTACAGAGTAAAAGAAAATGAAGGGTTTTAAAGCTCTTTTATTTTGCTTTCAAAAAACACTGCATCAAGTGACAGCTCTACCAAAAGTGTAAACACATCCTGGGTTTCCAACAACATTTCAAATGATTATATTAAAAAAATCTATATATGCTAATTTGGGGGATACAAAGAAGTATTTCTCAGAGTTGTTTTAATTTGTAGTTCTCTGGTAAATTAACACTTCTTCATTAGATTACTGATGGGTTCTGGTGTCTTCTTTTTGTCAAGAAATGCCTGTTCAGGCAGAGCCAATGTGGTAGAAAAAAATCAGGGACGTGCCTGCGCTCTCCCCATAACCCCTCCAAAGACCTTTAAATAAGGCCCTAAAACAAATACAGGAGCATCAGAACCTATGAAAGGATAAGGCAAAACAATTTTCCAGCTCAAAACAACTTAGAAGGTTGGCTGGAAAGGTCTGTCACACTGCGGTGACAGTGGAGCACAGTCCAGCCCAGGCCTTGCCAGTACAGACCAGGCCCAAGTAAACCAGGAGTATGCCTTGGGAGCCACTGAATCAGCAGTGGCAGTGGCTGCTTCTGGAGCTCTCAGCCCACAGACAGAAACGGGGTCAAGCAACTGGTCAGAAGGAGACTACAGGGGTCCCTTTGCTGGCACTGGGGACAGGACTCTGTTGCTTTGCCCATACTCAGATCTGGGTCTCAGTCCTGGGGGCAGTCTCATAGCAAGGAGGAGCACCAGCACAGCACAGCTTGCTATCCAGTGGAGGAGGGTCCCTCCTCACACTTCCAGGGCTCACAGACCAGAGCACAGGTCAGAAGAGCAGTAAACACTCCTCTCCTTAGATCACACCACCTTGGAAGAACTGAAAACTTACAGGTCCCTAGAAGTATCTCTGAAAGCAGCTGCACAAAGCCCCTGAAGCTTGGGACAGTACAGCCTCCACCCTGGAAGCAGAGCCCCACTTTAGCAAAGAGTTAAAAGTCAAGAAATGGACTGGAAAAATGAGCAAACAGAAAAAAATTCTGACCACAGAAAGTTACTAGGTGACAAGAAAGATCAAAACACACACTCAGAAGACAGCAAAGTCAAAACTCCAACATCCAAAGCCTCAAAGAAGAATATGCAGTGGGCTCAGGCCATAGAAGAGGTCAGAAAGAATTTAAAAAATCAAGTAATGGAGGTAGAAAAACATTTGGAAGAGAAACGGGAGTGATGCAAGAAAATCATGAAAAAAGAGTCAACAGGTTAGTAAAGAAGACACAAAAAATACTGAAGAAAATAACACCTTAAAAAGCAGACTTGGCCAAATGGTAAAAGAGGTATAAAAAATTCTCCTCAATGAGGAGAAGAATGCCTTGAAAAGCAGAATTAGCTAAATGGAAAAAGATATAATTCCTAAAAATCAGAATTGAGCAAGTGGAAGCTAATAACTCTATGAGACACCTAGAAACAATTAAACAAGACCAAAAGAATGAAAAAATAGCAGACAAAATGAAATATCTCATTGGAAAAAGAACTGACCTGGAAAACAGATCCAGGAGAGATAATTTAAAAATTATCGGACTATCTGAAAGTCATGATCAAAAAAAGAGCCTAGACATCATCTTTCAAGAAGTTTTCCAGGAAAACTGCCCTCCTATTCTAGAATCAGACAGTAAAATAGAAATTGAAAAACTCCACCAATCATCTCCTGAAAGAGATCCCAAAATGAAAACTTCCAGGAATACTATAGCCAAATTCTAGAGCTTCCAGGTGAAGAAGAAAATATTAGAAGCAGTCAGAAATAAACAGTTCAAGTATAATGGGGCCACAGTCAGGATAACCCAAGATTTAGCAGCTTCTACATTAAAGGACTGGAGGGCTTAGAATATGATATTGTGGAGGACAAAGGAGTTAAGATTACAACCAAGAATCACCTACCCAGCAAATGTGAATATAATCCTTCAGGGGAAAAAAATTAACATTCAATGAAATAGAGGACTTTCAAGCATTCCTGATGAAAAGACCAGAGCTATATAGAAAATCTGACTTTCAAATACAAGACTCAAGAGAAGCATAAAAAGGTAAACAGGAAAGGGAAATCATAAGGGACTTTTTAAGGTTAAGCTGTTTATATCCCTACATGGGAAGATAATACTTCTAACTCATAAGAACATTCTCATTATTAGGAGAGTTAGAAGGAGTATATATTGACAGAGGGCACAAGTTTGAGCTGAATATGATTGGGATGATATATAAAAAAAAAGGGTGAGTAAGAGGAATGATCTAGGAGAAAGGGAAAGGGAGAGGTAGAATGGGGTAAATTATCTGACATAAAAGAGGCAAGAAAGAGCTTTTATAGTGGAGGGGAAGGGAGAAGTTGTGGAGGGGGGTGAATGAACCTTACTCTCATTAGAATTGGCTCAGAGGACATAACATACACACTCAATTGGGTACAGAAATCTATCTTAACCTACAGGAAAGTAGGAGAGGAAGTGGATAAAAGAAGGAGGGAGGGTGAGAGAAGGGAGGGCAGACTGGGGGAGGTGGTAGTCAGAAGCAAAACACTCTTGAGGTACAACAGGGTGAGAGGAGAGAGAGAATAGAATAAATGGAGGGGGAAGTGGGAAATAGGATGGAAGGAAATATAGTTAGCAATCATAACTGTTTCTCTGATAAAGCCTTCATCTCTACAATACATAGAGAAATAAGTCAAATTTACAAAAATAAGAGTCATTCCCCAACTGTCAAATGATCAAAAAATATGGTCAGTTTTCAGATGAAATAATCAATGCTATCTATATCCATATGAAAAAATGCTCTAAGTCACTACTGATTGGAGAAATGCACATTAGAGCAATTCTGAGGTAAAACCTCATACCTTATATTGGCTAATAGGACAGAAAAGAAAAATGACAAATGTTGGAGGGGATATGGGAAAAGTGAGACACTAAGGCTCTGTTGGTGGATTTGTGAACTGCTTCAACCATTATGTAGAGCAATTTGGAACTATGACCAAATTGTAGCTCTTTTCTCATGGCAAAGAATTGGAAATTGAGGGGATACTCATCAACTGGGGAATGGCTGACCAATTTCTGATATACGATCGTGATGGAATATTACTATGCTATAAGAAATGATGAGCCAGATGCTCTCAGAAAAACCTGGAAAGACTTACATGAACTGATGCAAAGTGAAGTGAACAGAACCAGGAGGACACTGTAGACAGTAACGGCAATACTGTAAGATGATCAACTATGAATGGACCATAAGTGGGTACAAGAGACATCTGAAAGATGGTCTGGTTTGAGCTCCTAAGGAGTATGGGCAAAGGGTGGCCAAGCAGATAATGGGTTTAAGAAATTGGTTCATGTGACCTGCAAATCTCCAGACTTGGAACTCAAGCCCATTACACTTCTGAGGTGCTGTGAGTTGGATGTCAACTTTTTGGGAGTATAATGTGCGAACACATAGTAGTAAGTACAAAAGAGTTCATAAAGCCTTTGACCTAGTGATGTTACTATTAGGGGTGCACTCTGAGGAGAGCATTGAAATGGAGACCACTTTATACGAATATGGTCAACTTCAAAACTATTATTTGTAATACCAGAAAGTTGAAAATAAGCTTGTGGTCCAACGTTTGGGTTACATGTAGCTGGACAAAATCTGTCATATGACAATATTGTCCAACCTTCATAATTGTGTTTTCCTACTAAATTCAATGGAATAAGAGAAGAAGTATAGGGAGAAGGATGACATCATAAGAAATACAAGATCTGAAACCATACAGTGACTACACATGGAAAAAAATAAGCAACAGAATACTAAAACTAGGGAACAGAGATAGATATCACAAGGGGATGCAAAGGAAAACAGGACACATTTCTTATCATTTCCTTCAAGTTAACATTTAGAAGAGTGAAAGAACTGATCTCAGGAGAAGCAAGATAGGCAGCGTTGAATACATTCTGAGTTTTAGGTGAAGAGTTTTCAACAATCATAACATACTTAAGGTTTCTCTAACACAAACTGATATTGAGTCCAGTGATTTCTCAGGACAAAAAACTAGATTCAACTACTTTATTCCCATAGGCTTTCTCTCCAAAGTCTTGATATCAAATGTCAAATAACATCCTTTTTTAAGGAAGAAATTCCCAGATTAATTATGTTTTCTGAAGTTTTTGGCCAGCATCTCTGACTTCACATCAGCAGAAAACAAAGGCATTTCCCACCTCCACTTGCCTTCCAAACTGCTCGGTTATTGTTTTCTTGCACAGGACCAGAGCTGAAAGCTCTTTTTCTGGGGATCCCATTTATGGAGACTTTCTTCTACAGATAACTCCAGGACGGGACGTTCAGAATTGGACAGGACTTGGAGGCCAGGAAACGCAATGCCATGACGGCACTCAAGTCCAGAATCACAGGCCTAAGGCATGTGACGTGCAGTTAGAATACACCTGTGTATACACTGCTCTGTGGAGCCGCAATCTCTTGTGGCAATTCTCCAAAGCCTCTGCTCCCTGCAGCGTATGCCCGAGCACTCACTTTGGTGGGAGGGGTCCTGTTGGTGATTCTGACTTTTCTCCAACATATCTCCACCTTGCTCTCTAACCTGGCATCAACTTTGGTTTCCTCAAACTCACAGATAAAAGGACTAATCTCTCATGAATCTTCATTGGGATGGCTCAGATATTAAAATGTCCAGCTAGGTCGTTTGGGCCTAGGCTCTCACTCAAGAGAAAAACAGAAAATGCCCTAGTCACCCTGCTGTACGTCTTAGGCTTGGCTGGTAGAGACTGTGTTTGCCCTTATGGGAGATGTTTGGATAGAGAGCCTGGGATCGTGTTCCCACTCAGGTATGGGTTGGACCAGGTGGGGGTCCTCTCCTGCTCTGAGATTTGAGGATACTATGATAAAGCAATGACTGAAGAATGGAAGAAAGCAAAGAACTATCCCCTAGTGAGCTTTCTCTGGGACCAGAGGGACAAGAAAAGTCAGCTACCTGATGGACTGCAGGGAAGATGTGGTGCTATACAGCAGCTCATGACAGACAACCTCAGCTGTTCTTTGCAGGTGGAGAGAACTGGACAATAGGTCCCCATCTACACACATACACCAGGAATGACTCTCTGGGGTACTGCATAATACAACTCGCTCACCTGGATGCCCGCTTCTTGGAAATCGGCCCTCAGGTATCCAAGGTGCCTCCCCTTGCTCCAACTGAGAGATCACATCTGGCTCGGCAACCACAAAGCCTGGTAAATGGAAATAGCAGAGGGTAGGGAGAGACACTTCAGAATTCCATCCCAGCCCCCCACCCCTTCCAAGAACAGTGGGAATGCCAGGATAGTCCAGAGGGCAGTACAAGACACATCTGAAGGATGTTCTGGTTGGTGTTCCTAGGAAACATGGGGAAATGGGGCACAGGTAGGTTTGGGCTTAGAAAGAAAATTGGTTCATATAACACACCTCTTGCTAAGATGATCTGGAACTTTCCTGTCTTCAAAGACCTGCACTGGGAATTTAGGGAGGAACTCTGGTCTGAGAGTACAGAGATGAGGTCCAAGATCACAAAACGGTCAGTTTCCAGTTTTACAAACACAGAACCTTATGGGGGACAACAGGCATGTTGAGAATCCCATCCCTCGGCCATAAAAACATTCTTCGGCCTTTTCGGTTTTCTGAAGCCAAAGAATCACAGCTAAACAGTAGAGCGCCCCCCAGCATATACAAAGAGGGACCCAATCACCCTTTAATGGGCAGATCCCGAGTCCCAGGGGGAGCCCCCTTACCCAGGCTGACCAGGTTCCTGTAGTTCTCCAGCATCACCTCCCGGTACAGCTCCTTCTGGGAGGTGTCCAGGTAGCCCCACTCCTCCCGGGTGAAGTCCACGGCCACATCCTTGAAGGTCACTGATTCCTGAAATAGTCATTCATTCATTCATTCAATAAACATGAGGGCTTCCCCAGGCACCATCCATCTGATGAACCTTGGGGGAGGGATGAAATGTGCAGGAATCATCAAAGATGAGTCTCCCTGTTCAGCCCTCAAAGGGCTCAAAGTCAAACATTCATTGCATCCCTCCTAAGTTACTGAGCTTATAGTACTTTCTGAAAACAGGTAAAAAAAAAATATTGTAACGTGCCAAGAGCCTCGAATATCATGATAAATGAAGGCCCCAAGGAAGGTCAGAAGAACCCGACCGGCCAGAGTGGCCGTGGGGTGTGGGAGGAAGGGAAGGGATCTGGACTCTGACTTCGGGGGGCAGTCCCTTTCCTTCTCAGGGCCTCGTCTGATCACGGCCCCATGGTTTAGAGCTGGCTGGGGCCCATCACAGAAGGGCATCGCCTGGCACACTGTAGGTGCCTAAGCAATGTGCATGGAGGTATGGGTTGGAGTCAATGATTGCACTTGGGGGGAGGAGGGTCCCACTCACCTGGGGGGCCATGGCTTCCTCTCCACTCTTCTCCCCCTCCGGCCAGGCAGGGTCCTCTCCTGGGGACCAGAAGGGAGCCGTGAGAGGTGCGGGGAGAAAGGAGGGCCGTGCTCCTGGAGGACTGACCAGCAGAGGCAAAGGCGTGGCTTCGGGAAACGAGGGCAGGGCCAGATGGACAAGCTTGGATCTGGGACAGGGGCAGAGATGTTGAGGGTGCCTCTGTGGCTGGCCCCGTCTCCCAGGGGGGTAAACTGAGGCAACACCCCGTCCAGGAAGCACAGACCCCCAGTGGATACTGAGGCAGAGACAGGGCCAGGAGGGGCTAGGGGAGTGACAGGAGAAAGACAGGGGAGGAGGGGCAATGGGGGGAGGGCAGCAGGGTCACCTCCCATTGGCTCAAATCGTGGGAAGGGGTGTGGCCAGAGGATGCCCGCGGAGCCTCCCCGCTGGCCAATAGGCGCCTCTTCTCACGGAGGGGGCGGGAAAAGGGAGGTAGAGGAGGACAGTGCGCAAGCGCGTTGAGCGCTCCTTCTGCCCTCTCAGCAGACCGTGGAACAGATGGACAGAGGCTGAGCGCGCCCCGGGGGCCGCAGCTCGGGCGGGCACCCAGGGGCCGGACGGTCGGTCAGGCTGCTCCCCCTTCTCACCCCTGGGCTAAGTGGCCGTGCCTCACCTCCAGCGCGCAGATCCCCGCTCAGGGACCCCCTGCTGGACTGAAATGACTGTCGGGACAGAAAGTGGCTGGAAAGCGGAAGTTACGTCGTGCCAAGGCTGCGCCTTACCCGCCGCGCCTTCTGGGAAACGTAGTTCGGAGGGCGGGAGAAGTTGATGCGCATGCGTGCTGTGTCCAGGCTTCTCCGCATCCTGAAGAGCGAGCCGCGCCGCCCCCAGACTGGAGCAAAGCTGAATCCTGCAGCTCCCGAGAGTCCTGCACGTCGCAGTTTCTTCTCACTCCATGCATGGCCCGAGCCTTTCCCGCCTTACGGACCTTACTCCCGGCAGCCAGCGCGCCCATTTATTCGAGGTCCTAGTTTAGAGGCAGCAGGTCCTGAGTTCGAATGCAGCACTTCCTTAGCCTGGTGCCTGCCTCAGTTTCCTCATCTGTCACATGGGGTCTATGTAATTACAGCACCTGCCCCCCAGACTTGTTCTGGACGTATTAGTATCAGTAAAGTTCTGACTGTGCGGTGGGAGCTGACCAGCCCTCCCCCCTCGGACCCTGTGACCCCTGCCCCTTAGTCCTCAGCTAACTAGCCTTTATTAAGCGCCGTTTGGAGGCTGGTATTGTAGCGTGGAGGACGTCTCCCCAGGAAGGGTAACGGGGCAGTGAAGGACAGCTCGGGGCCGTGCGGACGGACTCAGCCTGCCTTCGATGCAGCAGATTCCACCTTGGAGACCCCCCCAGATGTTCCGGGAGATTAACTGCGGAGAAAACGTCCTTCCCACGACAAATCTGGTCATTGCAACTCCTGAGACCCCCGGGGCCAAGACGTTCTCCCCGAAACCTCCTGGCAGCCTGTCCTTCAGCCTTCACCTCCCACTGCTTATTATTTCCCGTTCGTTTGTCCGTCTCCCCCATTAGATCGTGAGCTCCAGAAGACAGGGAATGTCTCTTGCCTCTCCTTGGAGCTGTTTGATAAATGCTTCTTGGTGATTGAGCAGCTTCACCCGACAGCCTCCTTTGCTAGTAAATGTTAACGTTGCCCCAGAGTTGTGGAAAACTCCAGATGTGGGTGTGTCTCCCTTGGTTCCTCGGGGCTGCTAGCCACCTGCCACCTGCCCATCAGCCGATGCTGTTTGCATTTATTGACTCCCGGTCAAACTGACCAAGGTGGGAAGAATTATTCTGCAGGAACGTCTTGGGGTGTCTAGGTCATTGCTTTTGAAACTGTGGGTCATGACCCCGGATGGGGTCGAGAAAAATTTGGCAACAGTAAAAGGTTTCTGAACACTGAATGACCAAAAATTAATTAAAAATCAAACAGTGATGAATCTGAGGTGTTTCTGGCCGTGATTACTTTCTTGCTTTGGGCAACTTCACTGCAGCCTTGGTTCCGGACACCAAGCAAGAGCACTTTGCGCCGGGCATGCGCTCAATCCACACGGTGCCAACAAGCTGCCAGAACTCAGAAAGGGTCCCGAGTAGAAGAAGTTTAAGAAGCCCTGCTCTAGACTGAGGAATTGCTCCCAAAGTGCCAAGCTCTCGGAATACAAAGAAAGACAAAAGAGAAATCCCTGGCCTCAGGGAGCTAATGGAGGGGGAAGAGGGCCTAGGGCAGAGCACTAGGCCTATCCCCCAATTAGCAGGTGTTACCAGGCACAGCACCCAGTAGTCCAGAATGAGGAGGTGAGGGTTTCCACTAGGCTGTTGGCAGGATCAGAGGAGGAAAGGGGGCCAAAGTGAAAGATGTTAGAGAGGTACAATCAACATGCCTTAGCAATAGTGTGTATGGGGGAGAGAGAAGCAAGTGGTAGTGAGGAATCTAGGTTGTGAGCCTAGGAAGGATTGCTGTGACCCCAACAGTAATAGCCAAGTTTGGAAGGAGAGAAGATGTGGGAGGAAAGATAATGAATTCACCTTGGGACAGATGGAGTTTAAGATGTCTACAGAACACCCAGGTCAAAATGTCCACAGTTGGAGGTGTGAGACTGGAGGTCAGCAGACAGGTTAGGGGTGGATAAGTAGATGTGAAAATTCTTAACACAGAAGTGACAACTGAGTTCATCAGAACTGATGCGATCGACAAGTGAAATAATATAGAGAGATAAAGGAAGGGAAGAGAGAAGAGGGAGCGTAACAGAGCCCTGTTGGATACTCATAATTACCAGGCATGACTTGGATAAAGATCCAGCAAAGGAGACTGAGAAGGAATGGTCAGACAGATAAGAGAACCCGAAGAGAAAGGTATAATACAAACTTTGACAGCTGGGCGGATCAAGGAGGGTGATTAACCATGTCAAAAGCTGCAGAGATCCAAAGCCATTGGATCTGGCCATTAAGAGATTGTTGTGGTCTGAGAGGTTGAGACCCCTCAAAGACCAGAGTACCTGACGGGGTCGTCTGGAATGAATTCACAGACTCAAGCATTCTTTAAGTCAAGGTGGCAAAGATTTATTGTTACACTTTTCAGCGGGCAAGGATTCTTAAGGAACCTGCAAGAGACTGAGGATGGAGCTAGGGTTTATATGGAAAAGGGCATGGGAAAGGAATGCCAGGGACACTGATGAGGCAATCTAAAGGTGTAGGTGTCTTTGGGAGCTATGGAGGAGAAAGTACAGGGAGTATACTGGACAGGGAGGGAGATGACAGAGGTATGGATCTTCGGAGTCTGGCAGGAAGAAGAGTCCTTGGACCAGCCAAGGACAAAACTCCTTGGGCTGGGCAAGGCACCCCTCTACCTCTGTCTTGATGAGAGAATGCTCTGCAACAAGGGAAAACTTTCTCACAAGACAGGAACTTACTAAGGAATAGGGAGGCTTCCAGAGACATGATTTGAGGGCCTGGGGCCTGAGCAGCCCAGCACTCTCTCACCAAGCTTTGTGTAGCTGCACCAGGGAGAGATAAGGGTTGTGCTGGGGCCCATGCATGAGTAATTGCTAGGCAACAGTGTCCTTGGGCTGGGGAGTGGTTGTCAGAGACAGTGTTTCTAAGGCTAGGGAGAAATTGGGGTCCAAGTACAAGCACAAGCACCCAAGCACCCCATCAAGATCATCGAAACTTTAAAAATAGTTTCAGTTGAACGTTCAGTTGAACGATGAGGTTGAAAAACAGACTTTGGAGAGAGAAATCGAGAAAGAGAGGAAAGAATGGAAGAGCCTATTGTAGACAAGCTTCTCAAGGCATTTAGGCACAAAAGGCCAGAGAGATATGGGATGCTAGTTACTGGGGAAGGATGAATCAAGTGAACGTTTTTGAAGATGAGGGAGACATGGGCATGTTTGTAGACAATGGAAAAGTAGCCAGTAGGCAGGGAGAGACAGAAGACATGGGATGGAATGGGATCACCTGTAGAGGCATTGATCTTGGCAGGAAGGGAGAGAGGGAAGGAGGGACCAGTGGCAGAAGGCTGAGTGATGTAAGATGGGGGGGTTGAAGGGAATGGCCTCATGTGAGCCAAGGTTCCTCCTGAAACCTCCACTTTGTGAAAGGAAGAACCCAGGCCAGGGCATCTTGGTCCTGGTCCAGCCCTTTCACTGACTTTCTGGACTTCCACCTCACATCCCTCCAGACCTCCCTGTAGGGCAGGGGCTGGCACACAGTAAGCACTTAATAAATGCTTGTTGCCTCCTCCCTTTCTAAATCTGATGAAGTCCTGGATCAGTTTTGCTACTTGGGATCTGTGCCTGCAGGGCTGGGGGAGGAAGTCCGGGCCTGCTGCCTGGTGCACCGTCCCCCATGAGGTCTTGCACAAGGGCCAACAGCTGGAACCACCAACAGCCCCCAGGTGTGGGAGGCAGGAACAGGAGGACAGAGAGCCCACGTGACTTCCGCTCCAGACCGGGCGAGGGGCGGGGCTGGCAGAAAGAGCCTTTCGGGGATTGGAGGCCAGGGCCGAGCCCACCGGAAAGGGTGGGGTGGACGTGCTCCCACGTGACTTCCGATGGGCCTTTAGCCCTCGCCTCGTGGCCTCAGCTGCCACCACCGCCGGAAGCCGAGCCCTGGGTCAGGGTGAAGAGGAGCCGGGGCCCGGGGTGGGGACTCGGGCCTGGCCTCAGCTGGAGCCCGCAGGTGTGCCCCAACCCCCCGTGCTTCCCCCCCCCCCCCGTGATGCCATCAGTGTTGTCTGCTTCCGGCCCGATTGCGTGCTCTTGACGTTGCCTTCGTTGTAACAGACTTTTCGGTCTAGCGGGGCTGTGTGCGCCTCCGTGATTTGTACTCCTTTCACAGATGAGGAATCTGAGGCAACGGGTGAAGCGACCCCCCCCAAAGTAACCCAGCTGAGAAGTGGCCGAGGCTGGATTTGGAGGCTCTCTGCTTTCAAGCCCAGAGCCCTGTGCACTGCAGCGCCATCTAGCGGCCCTCCAACTCCAGTGGGTTTCGCCGGTTTTATTCTGTTGGCGCGGCCCAGTCATGAGCACTGGCTGCTCCTTAGCCATTTAAGCGCTCTTTATCTCTTTATGCAGTGCTTTGAAATTGAACCTGTACAACTGTGCTTTGGCACGTCGATTACAAAGGGTTTGATACATTTGGTTGTGTCTAATACGTGTTATTTTGAATGGGGCTTCATTTTGTAATATTTCCTCCAGGATTTTGTTATTGTATTGAAATGCTGTTGATTTTTCAGGGTTGATTTTGTAGTCTGTACATTTGCTAAAAAGTAATGTAGGCTCCCTAGGATTTTCCAAGTAAATCATCCTTTCATCAGCCACAGGCATAGTTGTATTTCCTCTTTGCCTATGCTTATGCCATCGATTTATTTTTCTTACTGCTATTGCTAGCCTTTTCAGAACTATAATAATAGTGGAGGAAGATGGTTCCTTTGCTTTAGTGCTGTATTTATTGGGAAGGCTTCTAGTATAATCCCATTGTATCTAAAGTTTGCTTTTGATTTTAGGTAAATACTTAAAAGATACTTCTGTGCCTATATTTTGTAGGATGTTTTAAAAAATCTTTTTAAAGCATAAGTGAATGTTTCTGTCAAAGGCATTTTCTGCATCTTTGGAGATAATCATCTGCTTTGGGATGTTTTGGGATGTGATTGATTAATTAATTAACATTGACTGTTTTCTCAGTGATGACCCAATCATCCTCACATCCTTCATACAAATCAAACTTTGTCATAATGAAAGATTTTTTAAAAATATAAATTCTGGTAATCTTTTCCCTAACATTTTGTTCAAGATTTTCAAGTCAATATTCATTAATGATATTGCTGCATAATTCTCTTTCTTTGCATTATCCCTTCCTGGTTTGGGCACTAGAACCATCACCCTATTCTGGGCCCGTGTCTCTTCTCACCTAAACTGTTCAGTGGCCTCCCACAGTCTCCCAGCTCTCAGGTTTGCCTTTCTCTAGTTCATTCTAACACAGCTGCCAAAATAATTTTAAGGTCCAGGTCTGACCACGTTCCTTTGCTCTTTACACTGGTCTGTGGCTCCTTGTTGCGTCTGGGAATGAAATAGGATCTCAGCCACCCCTCCCTGAAGGCCTTTCACCATCTGCTTCCCGTCTGCTCTGTCCTTGCAGTCACATTCCCCATAACTGCTGCCCATACCCTGTGTTCCAGTGAACCTGGGGCAGCCACTGCTGTCACAACTCACGTGCCATTTCCAGCCTTGGTGTATTCCCAGAAACCCATCCTCTTTGCCCAAAAGACTCTACTCTCCTTTCCTGAATTCCTGGGCTGCTTCCTCTAGGAAGGCTGCCCTCATTCCCTGCTTGCCTTCCTGTTCCCTTGTGTTTCCTTGTCTCTCACTGGGAGTGCCTGGAGATCAGAGACTTTAGTTTTTTTCTGCATCTTAGCACATAGGGCATTGTGCCTCGTCCTGCCTAGTCAGGTTTAATCAGTGCTTATTGGATGGGATCTTGAAAAAAGCTCATCATTTTCCCTGGATGTGTAGGTTTTCTAGCCTGGGGGTCTAGAAGCTGTAAAGCCATTGTCATCGTTTGATTCCCCCCCCCAGTTCTGCTTTATGAAGACCTTGCTCTTCTCCAGGAAGTGGAAGCATTGAGAAGGAAGGAATGGCCCCTGTTCTCCCCGTGTCCGGGAAAAGGGGGTGGTCCCCAGCGTCGGATGCAGCCAAGAGGTCAGAGAATGTGGACTGGAAGAAGCCTGGGGTCTGGGAATTGAGAGAGAGGGCAGCTTTGGGCAGTGATGAGGTTGGAGGCCAGACCATCGAGGGGGAGGGGGTCAAGGGCCCATTTTCTACAAGTTTGCCCAAGAACAGGAGGACACAAAGTGCTGAAAGCATCTCTCGTGTGCTTGTTATTTAATAAAAACTCACGAGGCTCCCCTGCTTAGGGTTGACCACATGCTCTCTGTACAAGACCAAATAGTGCAGTCAAGAGCGTCTTTCTGCAGACAGTGACCTGAGGTTCAGGAGGGATCGTGCCCAGGACCGCAGTGATGGACAGGGGTATTGTAAAGGGTCCCTGAATATGTAAACGGTGAAAGAACAGATATGTGTGAATGTGTAAAATGGTAAAAAGAACAAGCTGGAACATTGGGCCTGTGAAGGCCTAATCTCCTCAGGTTGAATTACATGGGACAGCCGTAAGAGGAGGCCCAGGATTTCCGAAGCCCGGGCATCCCCTAGAGGCAGCCTCTGGCACAAACTGGAGTTTGGCCAGAGTTATTCACCCCTACCCTGAGATCCAGGGAGGCGTGGGCCTCTGTTCCCCTGCTGCCTGCCTGGGTCTGGAGAGCATATGTAAGAGCCCCCAGGAAGGGGCCCTCCCCAGATACCAGAAGCCTGGCCCCTGATGGGGGGTAGCTGAGTTCTCGCTTTCTTTTTAAAACTTCTATTGATACCTTTTGTTTTTACATTATCTTCATTTCCCACGGGAAGAGAAAAGCCATTTGGTGAAATTAAGCAGCACATCAGTCACGTCTGCCTATCTACACTGTGATCTACCTCCTTGGTTCTCCACCTCTCCCGGGAAGGGAGGTGAGACATTCTCCCATCTCTCGTTTTTGGTACGTACGTGTAAATAGTACATACCACCTGGAGAGGAAGAGAAGAAATAGCCCAGGGTTTGGGCAGCGGATCCCGGGCCTGGGCCAGAGAGGCGGGAGAGCTTCAGGAGGGGAGCCTGAGGTGGCCTGCTGGCAGCCGCCAGGCCGTGCTGTCAAAGGCAGCAGAGCCGCTTACAGAAGAACGTCTTCCCTTGGCTTAGTGACGATTCTGTCCTTCAGAAGGTGGAGGAGCCTCTTCTGGATCAGGAGGCAACTGACTGCTGTCAGTCAACAAGCATTTATGTATTAAGCTCTTTTTGGTAAATATTCAGAGTCAGGTGAAACAAGCCCCCACCTTAGCCCCGTCTGATATGGACATCTTGTTCTTGTGACTGCATCCCTAGCCCCGTGATACTAGATGCCGCCCGAGATCCCCCCATTCTCTGAGTTGGGGGATTTCTGAATTTCGCGTTGTTGGCTGGAATATCTTAAAATTAAAATTTGGGGGGAGAAGTGGAGTGTATTTCCTCTAGTGGAAATACTAAATCGTTAGTGGAGGGTGATTGCGTTACGGGGACACCTTGTTTCATTGTACTTTGCAGATATTGCAGGATTACAGTTTGAAGGTTTGTGGGGAACTCTGTGTTGAAGAAGTCAGCGCCATTTTTCCAAGCCTGTGCTTACATCACGTCTCTGTGTCACGTTTTGCTAATTCTTACAACATTTCAAACTTTTTCATTATTACTGTATGTTGTGGTAATCTGTGACCAGTGATCTGTGGAGTTATGATTGTTTTGGGACGCCACAAATTGCGTCCACATAAGATGATAAACGTACTCGATAAATGTGTATGTTCCGACTGCTGCCCTGACTGGCCTCTGTCCCCTCGGGCCTCTCTGTTCCCTGAGACACAGCAGTATTGAAGGATAATGCATAAACTTAGCTAATAAAGCAGTGGCAGGATTTGAGAGGATTAATTCCAATTTTGAAAAAAGTTCTGCTGTGGGTAAAGTGTGGTCTAACAGCATCCTGTGCTACAGAGAAATCTTTCATGCATGGAAGGCTCCCTAGATGTGACAGACTTCAGTGCTGTCTTATTTTCAGACAGTGCCCCAGCCACCCCGACCCTCAGCAACCACCCCCAATCGGTCAGCAGCCGTCGACATAGAGGCAGGACCCTCCACCAGCAGAAAGATTCCGGCTCGCTGAAGGCTCAGATGATGGTTAGCAGTTTTTAGCAAGAAAGCATTTTTAAATTAAGGGATGTACATTGTTCTTTTAGACGTAATATTATGGCACAGTTAATAGACTACGGTGTGGTGTAAACATAACTTCTGTGTGCACTGCATGACTTACTTTATTGCAATATTTGCTTTATCGCAGTGGTCTGGACCCAGACCCACAGGATCTCCACAGCATGCCTGTGTTTCCTCTCATTGGAATCATTGGGCGTGTGATGGTTGATGTCTATTGTTCCCTTCCACTGTTATGTTCTGTGTGGATCTTATCAGATGTATGATTAGAGGGGTTTTATGGTAAATGTGATGCACTGGGGATATGACTTAGAAGAGGAAGCAGAGGATCGTGGGAAAAGCCCAGGATCGGGAGCTAGAAGACCTGAGTTTGGGGTAGACCTGTGATGCATACTGGCTATGCGCCTGAACTGGCTACTCAGCTTTGCCCAGCCTCCGTTTTCTGATCTGCAAAATGGGGGTATTCTATACTTTGAGCACTTGTGTTGTTAGACTGGAGTGAGCTACCAGGTAGTTTGTAAACTCCAATAGCGATCACAGATGAGGCATTATTGTATTTATTTTATTTCGTGATTCAGAAACTGATGAAACCTTGGAAGCCTGGACACTGAGAGCTATTAATGCTTAGTACTTTATGGAGCCTTGCTGCTCCCGCCATGTCCGTGTGAAGGATGACTCTTGGGCAAGCACAAATATACTTGGTGTTTCAGGGGTCGGTGACATTCAAGTACGTGGCCGTGGACTTGTCCTGGGAGGAGTGGGGGCAGTTGGGCCCTGCCCAGAAGGAGCTGTACCGGGAGGTGATGCTGGAGATCTACAAGCACCTGGAATTTGGGTAATGACGGCCTCTCCTGTGTGTAAGCATTGGCTCCATGAAGAGTGTTTGCCCCGTCCCTGAGGAAGTGCAGTTGGCCGTGCTCTAAGTTAGCAGTTGCTGTTTGACGGGCAGAGAACAGAGATCCCGAGTCCTTCTGGGACCCAGAGACAGGGCCCTTTGCTCCCTGCTCTCAGGCAAACAGTCCTTGCCTTGTATAGCCCAAGACAGGCTGCTTGATTGTACTGTACCTGAGAGGTTCTGGGTCCCTGCTTAGATACTTGAGGCCATAAAATGGCTCCATCTAAGCGGGGAGAGGGTCGGTTGGACAGGCTCACTTTCTGATCCCAAATCTCCCCTGTGACCCATCCCCCACCTATTTCATAGGAAAACAGTCCAGAAAGAATGCCCTTCTGTGGTCTTTGCATTGCCCTGGGGGGCTTCCTCCCAGGATCACCGTTGGGTTCTGAGCTGGCTCGTCAAGCCCAGCTCTTTTCTGTTTGTACTGAACAGGCCTGGTTGTTTCCAAGCCAGATGTAATCTTGCAGCTGGAGCAAGGGGAAGCACTGTGGATGCCAGGGGGCGAGGTGCCGAGGAGAAACTGCCCAGGTGAGTCGGGTACCTGAGGCCACCAGCTCATGGCAGGGGGTGTGGGGTCAAGAAGGGAGGAGAGGGGAGAAGAATGTGGGACGTGTTGGGCAGGGAGCCCCCGTCAGAGATCCCCGGGCCTGGGGGACAGAGCTGATGCTGTCTGGCATGAGTCTGCCAGTCAGTCACCACGCATTTGTTAGGCAGCTGCCATGTACTAGGCCCTTTCCTGTATACTGGGGATGCACACACAAAGCAATGCCTGCCTTCAGGGCACTTACTTTCTATGGGGGAACAGCACAAATGCAGATTATATGCGAAGTAAACACAGGGCTTTGTTGGGGCTGAGGAAGGACAGGGAAGGAAAAGGAGGGAGACGAAGGAGTCTAGGGGACTGAGGCAGGGGTTCCTCCAGCTTCCTGGCAGCTGATGGTTCCACTTCTGTGTCCCTTTAGTCTAAAAGAAAAGGGCTGCTTTTCCCTGTTTTGGGGTTGCCTCGAATCTTTGAAAGTGACCAAAGAAGTTATTGAATTCAACCAGTGACCGAGCAGGAGCCCTCAGGACAGTGGCCGTAGGCTGTGGTGATCCAGTCCCGCCCCTTGAAGGTCTCTGTTGATGGGGAGCAGGCCACCTGCCAAGGTCACCCACAAGCCAGGACAAAGCGTAGAGCATGGATGCGTAAGGCATTTAAAGTTGACCTTTCACGGGGAGAGAGGGGCCTGAAACTAAGGAGTCAGCACCAGAGTTGGGCATTTCTGTGGCATGGTTAGTTGAAAAGCCTCAGCAGTGGTGGTCCTTGTGTCCACAGACTAAGGGGCAACTGTGTGTGTGTGTGACACGTGGTTAGAGGAGGGAGCATATCAAGGCAGAGAAAGACGCTCTGTCAGTAAATGTCCCCATGAAGTGTCTGAGCCTAGAAATGTCATCAGGACAGCAGACACTCAGTGCAGGGCACGGCCTTTCCCACAACAGAGCAAAGTGTGTCTCTGAGTGTGATCCCCAGACAAAGGGCTACCGCTTCTATCCAGACCTTAGAAATATATTGGAGCACGCTCTAAATAGAGCCCTAACTGTAACCTGGAAGGGGGTGGAATAAATGCTGCTGAGGGGCCGTCCGAATGTCATGAGTCTGGGCAGTCCTTCCCCCCAGGAACACAGCCAGAGACATCAGACCTCAGAGACTTCATGCTGGGGAGAAGGCGTGTGAATGTAATGATTGAAAGGAAGCTTTCTTCCAGGCCAGTGCCTAACTCAACATCCGTTCTCACTGGACAGAGAAGCCATAAGGAAGTCATGATCATGGAAACCCTTCAGCCAGAACACGTAGCGCAGCGCTACCTCTGTCTTTTTTTGAAGCACTGTTAAAGTTATTGGAACGAAAACCCCAGAGCCAGGCACAGACCCCAGCAGCACCCTGCTTGAGAGACCTCTTTCTGCGTTACATTGAACCGTGAATGACTGCTGTTTGAAGCCACCTAGTTGTTTAACCCATATCGCCCTCTTTTCTACACTTATATCGTGAAAGACCACGTTCTTTGCCAAGTTCAAGATGAAAAGTAGGTGAAGAATTTCCCTGTTCTGCTAATTTAGAATTCCTGTCAAAAAAGGAAATGGGGCCCATTGGAGCGTGTAGATTTTTTTAACTCTTTCAATAATAGCTAACCATTTTCTATGATTCTGTGTTTTGGAGTAGGTATAAGTTTCTTGCACCTGATAGATTAAGTTTCTTCACTGTCCCTGTAACAATGAAATCACAGGTCCAGTCAGAAAAATAGGGACCGTTCTTAATGCTGAGATTGCACTGGCAGCGTATCGGTCTTATTACTTTGCTAAAAGGTGGCACCAATTTAGATCTCCTCAGCGGTATTGTCACCTGCCTGTTTAGCCCTAAACTCCTTCCTTCTCCGGATCCTCCCATTCCCTCAAACCATCATCCTGTAGCTCTACTTTTCTTAGTCAAACTCCTAGAGAAGTCTGTCTATACTGTCTGTACTCCTCTCACTCATGCCCTAACCCTTTGCAGTCTGGCTTCCAACCTTATCCATGCCTTTGATGCTGCTCTCTCCACAGTGACCAGGGATCTCTTAATTCTCACCTCTGATCATCTTTTCTCACCCTTAATCCTCCTTGAATGATCTACTGCATTTGACACTCTTGATCACAGACTCTTTCTGAATACTCTCTCCTCCAATTTTTTATTTTGGTCACTGCTCTCTCCTGCTCTGTCTCCTACCTGTCTGACTACCGCTCCGTGTCCGTCCTATGCTGGCTCATCCTCTGCAGCGCTCCCTCCTACTGAGCGTTCCCAAGCCTCTGTCCTGGGCCTTCATCAGCTCCCGTGGAGATGAGGCCCAGATCTTGTAGCCAGCCCTGGACTGTCATCTGAGTTTGAGCCTCACAACACAAATTGGGTGTCCTGGAGGCATCAAACTGAATTCATTGTCTTCCTACAAACTTAAGTCTTTTCTAAATGTTCCCATTTCTGTTGAAGATGTCATCCTCTTTACACTCTCGGGGGGGGGGTGATAATCTTGGCATTTAACTTGGATTCTTCACTCGATCACCCCATGTAATCAATTGCTAAATCTTGCCATATCTGTCTTATTTTTAAAATGTTTTTTTCTTTAATACGTGTAAAAACAATGTTTAACATTTAAAAAAAATTTTGGAGTTCCAACTTTTTTCCCTTTTCCGCTCTTTGCTCCTTCTTGAAAAGGCAAGCAATTTTATATAGGTTATACATGTCCAACCATGCAAAATGTATTTCCATATTAGACATGTTGTGAAAGAAAACACAAACTAAAAACAGTA